TATATATATATATATATATATATATTGATTTTTCTCGTTTATTTCTCTTCAACTAAATAATTGATATCCATTGTCGTGTTTAGTAAAGAATAAATAAGTAAAAAATAAGGTAGAGAAAATAAAAATAAAAAGTTTAAATATAAGAGAGATTATTTAATTGAGAAAATATAAAGTGAAAAGAAATTAAAAGATGATAAATCCATATTCTTATTTATTTTTCTCTCCTTGTTTCTTATATATATCTTATTTTTCATTAATTTCTCTTCGACTAAACAATCAAAATTTTATTTTATTTCTTATCAATTTTTCTTCACTTCTTATTTCTATACACTTTATTTTATATTTATTTATTTCCTTTCTACTAAACACAAGGTATATGATATGCCTTTCGAATTTGAATTTAAAAGGTAAATAAATACTTTAAAATGATGCACAATATTTATTGTGTTAATCGATAATAATAATTGTAATAATAATAATAATAACAATAACAATAACAATAAATAGTTAGTTTAATTAATTAATTGATTTGAATTAATTTAATTTTTTTAAAATTTGTCTATAGTTTTAAAAATCGGACCAATCATCAAACAGGTTAGAGTATTATGTTAGTGGATCAGAGGTTGAACCGGTAAGTCACTAATTAAACCGCACGACTTGATTTTTATTAATTTTTAGAAAAATATTCATGTAAAATATATTTTACTTATAAATTTTAATAAATTCATATCCTATCTTAAATTTCAGTTTTCATCTTACTTAAAATTATCTTTATTTTTATTTTATATAAAAAAATACATAAAAATATTAATGGTTGAATCAGTTTGACCCACCAGTTCGACCAATCAGTTCACTAGTTAAACCAAAAAATTAACAGGTTCATTTCAATTTAAAATGAATTAAATACACAATCGATCCAATTCAAGATTTGAACCGACTGAATCACTAATTCCTGGTTTAACCGGTCTAACAGGTCGGTTCGATCGGGTTTTAAAACACTTTGGGGTAAGGTGAATTCTCTGAAGGACCACTTTCACAAGTGGTCCATGGGTGCATCATCAATTTTCACCCTTAGATGCATCTAAACTAGTAGACCATAATACACCTTACCACACTGGATCTAAATTTTCGATTTTTTTACTGATTTTTTTTTTAAAATTACCCAAAAAAAAAAACACGTGGCAACAGACGCAGCTGCTACTGACACTCGGAACGGGCCGTTCTGAAATCAGAACGGGCCGTTCCAAATGAATAAATAACACATAAATATTGGACCAGAACGGGCCGTTCCAGATGACAAAAAAACACATGAAGAATGGAACGGAACGGCCCGTTCCAACATCAGAACGGCCCGTTCCGAATTCAAAAATGACACATCAATAATTAAATCAGAACGGGCCGTTCTGAAAACGGAACGGCCCGTTCTAACTACAAATTTGTCACACGAATTTTTTAAAGCAAAATAATATATTTTTTATCCATTCTACTAAATTACATCTACACCCTAAGCCCTAAACCCAAAAAATCTTATACTAAGGTCCATAATACAAGACCAAACAATATAAACTCTTGTACTACCAAATATATAAGAAAAGTGGTCATCCACTAAGGCTCATAATACAAGACCAAACATTATAAACTCCTATACTACCAAATATATGAGAAAGGCGGTCACCCATGTAAAGTCCAAGTAAAGAGAACCTTAGGCCCACCAAACCCATTGGGCTCACTAAGCTCAGAAGTAAACAAAAGCCCAAAGGCCCACAAAGCCCAAAACTAGGCCCAATAAGCTTAAAACCCAAAAAGTCTTATACTAAGGCCCATAATACAAGACCAAACATTATAAACTCCTATACTACCAAATATATGAGAAAGGTGGTCATCCATGTAAAGCCCAAGTAAAGAGAACCTTAGGCCCACCAAACTCATTGGGCTCACTAAGCTCAAAAGTAAACAAAAGCCCAAAGGCCCATAAAGCCCAAAACTAGGCCCAATAAGCTTAAAATCCAAAAAGTCTTATACTAAGACCCATAATACAAGACCAAACAATATAAATTCCTATACTACCAAATATATGAGAAAGGTGGTCATCTATATAAAGCCCAAGTAAAGAGAACCTTAGGCCCACCAAATCCATTAGGCTCACTAAGCTCAGAAGTAATCAAAAGTCCAAAGGCCCGTGAAGCCCAAAACTAGGCCCAATAAGCTTAAAACCCAAAAAGTCTTATACTAAGGCCCGTTCTGGAAGTGACAGCTGCTTCGTAATACCTGTTTTTTTTTATAGGTAATTTAAAAAAAAAAAAAATTCCAGTAAAATATTCAGAAATTTTATCCAGTGTGTGAAGGTGTACAATATATCTTCTCACTAAATCACAATCTTAACCATTCATTGTTTTTAATATTATATCTATGGTGATTTTAAATGCACCATCCATGGACCACTTACTAAACTTCACTATCAGAGACTTCACCTAGGTTTAATCTTTTAGAAAAAATTCGAAGGAAGTTAATGAGTTATTCCGATGAGTATGACGGTGATGAGTACCTTACCTTGTTTCTCTCATACACTCTCAGTTTTTTAACCTTTTACCTCTCCTCTCTCTCTCTCTCTCTCTTAACTATATTTTTCTTCCATTTTCATTCCCGCTTTCAACCGCCCTCTCTCTTTTCTCAACAATGCGTCGCACTGCAAGTAAGTTCCATTCTCTTTCTTTACTTAGGGTTTTACATTTTCCTTCCCTTTCTCACAATCCATTACCTTCAACTTCCATAACCAACCATTCTCATTATGTTTTTATTTCAGCACTTTATGACATGTTGATACTTAGCTTTAATTTCATTGTCTTGGGTTTCTCTGTGTCAAACAGGTGTGAGTAGTGAATAAGCAGAAAGAATTCCATTTAGAGAACTAGGGTAGTTGGATTTTGATCCCAATTCTTCGATGGAGTGCAACAAGGACGAGGCTGTGAGGGCTAGGCAAATTGCGGAAGCTAGAATGCAAAGAGGCGAATTTGTAGAGGCACTCAGGTTTGCTACCAAGGCCAAAAAATTGTATTCTGAGGTTGAAAACATTACCCAGATTTTTACCATTTGCGAGGTTCACAATGCTGCACAGAAGAAAGTCTCTGCCTCTGAAATGGACTGGTATGCAATTCTCCAGATTGAAAGGTTGGCTGATGAGGCAACCATAAAGAAACAGTACAGGAGGCTTGCACTGCTGCTTCATCCTGACAAGAATAAATTTGCTGGTGCAGAAGCCGCTTTCAAGTTGATTGGGCAAGCCAATGGGGTGTTGAGTGACCAAGCAAAACGTTCTTTCTATGACAACAAGTTTGGAGCATCTGTAAGAGGTGTCGCGCCTCAGTCTTCATGCCGTTACTCAAATGTGAATGTGTCTGCTGCAAAACATGATGCAAACGCTACAAATTGTCAGAAGAAATTTGATTCACAACATTACTCAAGTGCGAATGTGTCTGCTGCAAAACATGATGCAAATGCTACAAATTGTAAGAAGAAAGTTGATTCACAACATTACTCAAATGTGAATGTGTCTGCTGCAAAACATGATGCAAACGCTACAAATTGTCAGAAGAAATTTGATTCACAACATTACTCAAGTGCGAATGTGTCTGCTGCAAAACATGATGCAAATGCAACAAATTGTAAGAAGAAATTTGATTCACACCATTACTCAAATGTGAATGTGTCTGCTGCAAAACATGATGCAAATGCTACAAATTGTCAGAAGAAAGTTGATTCACACCATTACTCAAATGTGAATGTGTCTGCTGCAAAACATGATGCAAATGCTACAAATTGTCAGAAGAAATTTGATTCACAACATTACTCAAATGCGAATGTGTCTGCTGCAAAATATGATGCAAATGCAACAAATTGTAAGAAGAAATTTGATTCACAACATTACTCAAATGTGAATGTGTCTGCTACAAAACATGATGCAAATGCTACAAATTGTAAGAAGAAAGTTGATTCACAACATTACTCAAATGTGAATGTGTCTGCTGCAAAACATGATGCAAATGCTACAAATTGTCAGAAGAAATTTGATTCACAACATTACTCAAATGTGAATGTGTCTGCTGCAAAACATGATGCAAATGCAACAAATTGTCAGAAGAAATTTGATTCACACCATTACTCAAATGTGAAAATGTCTGCTGCAAAACATGATGCAAATGCTTCAAATTATCAGAAGGATTCTTGTCGGAAATCCACCTGTTCCAACAAGCAAGTTAAACAGAAGACATTCTGGACGTCTTGCCAACATTGTAATACCAGGTACCATTACTGCATAGCATTTGTAAATGCAACCTTACGCTGTCAAAAGTGTTTCAAGTCCTTTAAAGCTCGTGTCCAGAAAGAGGCTTCAATGCATGGTTCCTCAAAACCAGTTTCAGAAAGTACTGGTGGAAATCCTGTATATATGAAAAAATGTGCAGCTGGAGTTGATGGTCATCGTAAAGGTGAAAAGGGTAAATATGGCTGTGTTTCTGCATCCAAAGACATGGAATCGCAGACCTCTAAAAAAGTTGGGAGTAAAAGAGTAAAGCAGTCAGCATCAGATTCAGGAAAAAACTTCAAAGCTAAACATGGTGATGAGATGAAAGATGCCTATGTTAGAGAAAATGGTGTTGATCCGTCCAAAGTTAATGCAAGGAGATCTTCCAGGATTAAGCAGCGTGAGGATTTTGAAATTCCTTCCAAAAAGCCACGACAAAATTGATATGTTAATGCTGTGATGAAGTTGAGAAAAAGAACGTGCCTGCAAAAGATAAGTGTAAAAAATGCTTTTAATTTACCGGCTGAAATATAGGTATTGCGTCTACATTTTTATTATTCTGTAAGGAATGATGATTGATGTATGGAATGAAGGGTCGTAACAGTGACACCTCGCCTGCTTAGAGAAAAACAACTTAATAAATAATAATAAAATAAAATATAAAAAAAAAACGCATTTACATTGCTTTTAGATAAGTTAATTATGCTTTGTGAGAGTGGAAGAAAAATATGATAAATTTTCAACCTTGTCTTGGCAAACAAGGGAATAAAATATGTTTACTCTATAACAAAAGACGAGCAACAAAAGAGACCAAAATGAAACAAAATATGCACCCATCGATTTTTTTTAAGATGCACAATACACGGTAATAGAGATAAAAAATTATTGAGTAAAATATATTTTTGATCTTAAAAATATTTTGAAATGTTGGTTTTAGTTAAATGAGATTATTTTAAACACGAAAGCACATTCACCTCAAAAGTTGGGGGATACATAATCTTTGTTGGGACTAGTCCTAAATCAACAATTGTGGCCACTGAATATCAAGTACTGGCAAGATTTTTAAAGTTTGCCAAACTATTACAATTTCCCATATTGTTTATTTATTTATTTTGCTAGCAACAAGTTCCCATCTTTTCAGAAATGGTACCACAATTCGGATTAACTGAATAGTATTAGCTGGAAATTTAATTACGAAAGCCTGAACCTAGCTTCTAATATTTTTTTTTTTTTTTTTTAAACATGGATGAAAATAATTCTTAAAAAATTTCTGTCGGAAATGCGCTTACACCACAGGTTCCTCAATCGGAATAATTACTGCAGAGGTGGACAGAATCGAAGTATTTCACTTTTAAAATGAGGTGATCATGAATACTTACTTTTTTCAACATTCAAATTAGATGCTCTATCACGACTGGTATTCACTCATGGGTGGTGCCACCACAACTACAGAGAAATGAACGGCCTCAAATATGCAAACACAACACTCAGTTTTCTACTATCTATATTCTATACACAGAAGTTATCTACCCGACAGATATATATCTCATTATTTGTACTTGTACACCTGGGTAAATTTGCATATACAAATGTGGAGACGTACATGATTATGGACTAGACAGATCAGATCGAACATCGCTGACCGTCGTCAAGTATACAGATCCTCTACTATTACATTTATAGATATAGAGTGGATTTATGCCTAAACTTCTGCTATTAACAAATTCGAGGAAATTCAAAATGTTAGTGGCTTCCTGCATATGATTGATCGGCCAGGTATCAAGAGTGTAAACGGTATCCCAAGAAGACACAAATAAGCGCCACCATACAGACATATAGAAGTGGGAACCCGACCTGAACTTTTCTTGGACCTTTATTAATAAGATCTGCCTGCAAAAATAATACAACCCACCATTTAAGAAATGAAATATACCCACCTCAAAAGAGGAAAGAGTACAAAATTGTGCAATTTATATATTGATAGTATTCTAAATTCTAGAATGTTAAACATCCCAAGGATTATGGCAAGAACCAATGAATAAAAATCACAAACATTACTAGTAAACTAGAAAGTAAACAGTGATTAGAGACAGTGATTCCCAAGCTTACTAATTTTTCTTGCAAGATTCTCGTCTCTTGATTGCTGAGCCTCCTCTCCTCTGTTAATTTTGATATTGTTACTCCAGACTGCAGAGGAATAAGAAACATCATCACTTTAGTTCAGAGTAGCATAAAAAGACCCACTATTACTTTTGCTCCATTTTAATGAGGAAACCAATAGGCTTCATTGCTATATGCAATAGAAAGAAACATTTTCATAAAATTAAGTTTATAGGATTGTCAGGACCTTTCAACTAATCAAATCTAAAAGGAAGTAAAGTCTCTCAGTACAGTTATATATATTCCTGTGCATTCGAAAAATACATCCAAAAAAGGAGTCAGTATATAGTTATATACCGACTCCTTTGGTTTTTCTAATTCCAACTTATATTTTGTTAAACACAATGTAGTGGATCTCAAACCATGTGTCATTTAATCAAATGAAAGGAAGGAAAAAAACAACCACACATATTCATTTATAATCACAATCACACAAGAGTATGTGAAGCCATATAATTTAGACAAGTATGCTAATAAATATAAAGTAAGCTGAAAAAGGTCTAAATAATACTTCATGCATCAAACCTCTCAAATGAAAATATAAGCCCAAAAAAGTGCTAAGGCACATTAATAACCAAACTCTTGATCTAGTTGCAGGAAAAATTTATAAAGCAATCTGCTTCAACATGCAACTTGCTAGGAAGCAAGTCACATATACAAGCAGACAAAAAGTTTCACAGTATAAGAATGGGGGCATGACTGACCGCATTTAGTTTTGACTCAAGTCCATCTAGCTTTGACTTCATCTCTTCAATAGCTTTCATCAATTTCAGCTCCTCTATACTCTTTGAAACTCTTAACTCAACTTCTTTTTCTGGCTTCAGTTCCTCAACATTCTTTACTGTTTTCAACTCCAGCTCTTTTGACATTTTTAACTCTGTTTCATTTTCTGGCTTCAGTTCCTTTACATTATTTACTGGATTTAAATCCAGAACGTTTGACGCATTCAACACTGCCGCTTTCTCTGGTTTCGGCTCCTCTGCATTCTTTACTTTGTTCAGATCCAGAACTTTTGACTCTTTCAACTCTGCTGCTTCCTCTGGTTTCAGCTCCTCTTCATTCTTTACTTTGTTCAGATCCAGAACATTTGACACTTTCAACTCTGCTGCTTTCTGTGGTTTCAGCTCATCTACGTTCTTTACTTTGTTCAAATCCAGATCTTCTGACACTTCTAACTCTAACTTCTTTCGCAGTTTCAGTTCTTCGACATCCTTTACCATGTTCAACTCCTTATTTTTTGACACTTTTAACCCTGCTTCTTCTTTTGGCTCCCCTACATCCTTCATAGAGTCCAGCCCCATATAATGCTCTGGCCTTAACTCCATATCCTCTTCTAGATTTAATACCTCATGATCCATGTCTGGATTTTTAAGAATCTGACATAAACCAAGAACAGAACAAAACATTAGAATGGCTTATTTAATATGTATGAATTGGAATTAAAAAATTGATCATTCAGACATGCACAAAGACTAGCAAAAACAGAAGAGATGACGACAGCAGAAAAAAGAAGGGAATTTAAAACAGGTTCAAAGAATGTCTTCCCAAGAGACTAAAGGAAACACCAAAGGTGAAGACACTCTGCAACTCCATAACAGTACACCTTTCAAATTATGAAAATAACAATCCAGAAATAAAAACCAACAAAGCCATTTAAATATGTAATTAAGAAATTCAAGTATCTTTCTCTGGGATTTGAAATGTCTATGAAAAAAAAGAATGGAGGAAAGAAAAGAATTTAGAGCCAGACATTAGTGAAGTTTCCTCGGACCATGGGCTCTGGGGATTGGATTTCATCTTTACTATATATGTGAACTTTTTCATGATCGAGCCCATTCTTGAAGTCTCCGTTGATAGGAGAGAGAACTGGTGAATTGGGTGGGCTGATCAGGGTCACCTTCAGCTTATTTTCTTCTATGTATTTACTTCCATCTTTAACAAACTGCCATTACCAAACAAAAAAGCCAAAAAATATTAAAAAATAGAAATTAACAATAAAATCAACTAGAGTACAAAACCACAGGCTAATAAATATCCATACCAAGCTGGAAGTAACATCTTCACTGGTTGTTTCACCAGGAACCATTGTGCTCTGGATTAAGAACTTGTCCTTGCATACCATATCATCAGGTGGTACCCGCTGGGCTTGCATTGTAACTGTTTAATGACAAATAAAAACAGCAAAATGAATGTCGGCGAGGAGGAGACAGAAACTAAGTTGCTAGGATTAATTTCCCATATGTGTGGATTCATTTTCAACTGTTGTTTATGGATAACCGATATTTCTTTTATAAAAAAAAATCATTAAAAAACTTATTGCTGCAATTACAACAATTTAAAACTGACAAGCAACATTAAGCAGTAAAAGAAAACTGTTTGTGCCAAATTCAACCCATTTGGCATCACAATTGCTAAACTTATTTCAAGAAAACTTAAATAATGAGTATGATTAAGTTGCATCAGGGAATCCCAGACACCTCTTTCCAATACCAACCAGAACAATAGGTATAATTGAATCTTCCCGTCGGCCAAATAAAATCCATTTTTTTGTGTACTATAGTGACAACAAGGATAAAACCAAAGACTTTGTACATATTATCTAAAACCCTACCAGTAGACCGACTTTGGTGGGTTCACATAAGATCCATTTTAAAAGAATAATCCTAAATCTCCTTGCCATATCCTCCTACTTTCTTAATACGGTAACTATTTATTTTTTTCATTTAAAACTTTATTTATAAGATAGTAAGAAGATTTGTAGAAAGATATGGCATTATTCCAAGAATGTCAAGTCAAGTGTCAAAAGGAAAGAAAAAAGTCAGAGGAAGATTTACCTATGAATTCACAAGTAGCTTTTGGCATGAGAACTCCAACATTTGGACGCACTGAATATTTCTTAGGCGACGTCGTCTTGACCTGCAAAGAATAACATCAATCACACCAAAATGATTAATCCCTGTGCCTAACGGGGAACAAAAGAAAGGTTCTCAGACCTTGAACGCTACATAGTAGTTGGTATTATTCGCCAACTGAACCGAGCACGCACTTTGCTTCTTCAACTCAACTACAAAGCCAAAAATCACAGCATAGTATTCAATTGATCATACAAACGCACAGTTACAAATTACACTAGATTCCATGGCGTCATGAGCATGCATGGTAAAAAAAAATAAAAAATAAAAAATAAAAAATAAAAAAAATTGAAAAATCGACTCACATATAAATTTGAGTTCCTTGGGCTCAATCTCGAGAATCGGCGCTTTGCTCATGATTATCCCTGAGGCAGCAACCAAAAGCGAGATCGAGACCCAAAACGACAGTGTTTCAGTGTAGAAGAGTGAAACCGTGGCAGATCAAGGAGTGAACTCAACTGAAGCGGTGAAATTGAGCGAGAAGATAGTGTAGCTGGGGAAGCAGAAGAAACGGCAGCGTTTAAGATTTTCTTTTTCTCACATGCACGCTCGTTAGAAAAGTGAGAACAAGCGTGTGAATCGTGATCTTCCTGGAACTGGAGACAGATAGAGCGATTAATGCCGCGATTATTGAACTGCAGAAGAAAGGGGAAAAAAAGAAAAAAAGAAAAAGGAAAACAATGTTTTCTTAAAATGTTATTGTGAATTATTTATTTTAGTAATTTGAGGCCTTTTTGAAGAGAGAAGCACGTAGCATCCCAAGGGAAAGTGACTTGTATGGAAGACGTTGATTCTACTGACCTTTTACCGACACCCAGCCGCTTTTAATTCATGGCTCGGCGCACCCGGCTTCGCTACCAGGCAAAATAATTCTTTTCTTTTATAAAAATTCCAATAAAATAATATTACCAACTTATTTTACTTCTTTAAAATAAATAAAAATACATGATAAAATTATTGGCATCTTTGACTTTGACTTTGACTGGTTAGTAAGAATGTTGAAAATTGAAATCCTTTAGCTAGCTCCTATTCTGTGCAAGCCCATTCAATAATTTACAATTCCAAACATGATCGTGTTCGTGTTCGTGCATGGAGTGCAACGCACTTTTTTCTTTTTTCTTTTTTCCTTTTTTAATTCTTCGTCACCAGCCTCATGAGACGGTGCTGCCGTTGTCAATGATTATATATACCAATATTTGGATTTTTGGCTTCCTTAACACTATCTCACGCATCATTTGCTTATTATTATTCATTCATGTCAATAGTTAGATATAAAATAACTTTCACTTTAACTTCAAAATATATAATACTCATTATTTTAAGTCTATTTGGTGATCGAATATGACACGATATAATAAAATAATTAATTATTCTATCATGTCTTGTCTCTTATCTTATCTCTCTTTAAAAAATATTTTTTTCTTAAAATATCATTCATCAAAACTTGGCATATAAAAAAAAAGGATCATTAGGAATAAAATATTTTGGTTTTATATTTAGAATTTATAATGCTTTTTTAGTCAAAATAAATGTTTTTTAATTAATACTTTTTGTTTCGTTGATATATATTACATTGGAAAAAATAAGATATATTAAAAAAAATACTTTATTCAATTAAAATACAAATAATAAACCCGAGTCTGTATAAAACTGGAAACTAAAATTATAATGTGCATAAATATCGTTTTGGAAATAATTTTTAAGAACATAAATATAAAGATGTATATACTTTGTTATTATCTTCAAATTCTGTCCATTAATTGTTTAGAAAAAGAAACTTAACCAGTATGTATTATTACCCCACTTTATGATGTATCATCCACTTACATACACTTTTCCCGACTCTAGTCCTTTGTCAAATTACGTACCATCAACAAACCTTTTCTTTTTTCTTTTTTTTAATTTCAATAAATTTCAAACCATGTGGATTTGCGCTCAAGACATCTTCATGTGAAGAAAATATTCCTTTCAGTATTTTCATAAAAAAAATAATAAAAAAAATACACGATGTGTATTAAAAAAATACATTCATCCGTCATAAGATAAAACTTGGCAACTTGCATGTAGTATCATAATTATTATTGCAAGTAATATCATAATTACTATCGATGCTATTTTTTAAAATTTAATCGCTTATGTGATAGGATAAATCAAACTGAATTCTGTAGGAATTCTTCCGAACACTTCTACACTAACATACTTTCTCAAGTTGCACATAGTTGATTCAGCTCTCTCATGTTTTTGACCTGAAAATAAATACATACAGAAAGAACGTAACCATATAATTCAAATAGATAATTAAGATTAAAATTAATTAAAATGTTTGTAAAAATATAAATAAATGTTGCATATTTATAGATTTTATTTAACATGTCAACTTATATTATTATGAAGTTTTAACGTAAAATATTTCATTTGAGGTATATAAATGTTTATAGAAAAAGACCAATATGAAATTACTAAAATAGAAATAGCAATTTGTTGTTGGTTGGTGTTTTCTTTTATTCGGCCACGTGCATGTATAAGATCACTCACGTCCACAAAATCCAAAGTAACCCCTCTCCTGCTTTCGGCCTAAAGAAGACGTAAGAATTTGTCTTGTTTCAATGTTGACGTCCACGACAATGCTCTTCATGAAATCAAATCTTCAAAATATTTTATAATAAAGGAAAAAGAGACAAAAACAATATGGGATAAAATATATAATATGATACAATAAATAAATAAATAAATAAAGATGTTGTAGAAATGTGTTTCAATTAAGTGTAATATGACTATTTACTAATGTCATCTTCAATCCACTGTCACACGCGTTACTTATTTTTACATATTTTATAATTTAAGCGATTATTTTATCTAAATATTTTTTGTACTCTTTTAAAAAGATGTAATTATTGTACAATATTTTATTTTTATTTTATAAGATTATTTTGTTTTATTTTTGTTATATAAATATTATTTATTGTTAAAATAATTGTAGAACCTATCATAAATAATTAACACCGGTGCTTAACAAGCTATATATATATATATATATGCTCCAATAATACCTCTATATAATTACTGATCTTATTATGAAAAGTAAATTATGTTGCTCTCACCACAATATACCACATGTCACCTTCTAATGCACTACATATTCTATTTTATTTTATTTTTTGCGTTTCTCTTTATTGTAAATTTTTGTTTTTCTCTTTCTTTTTCTATTTTTGCGTTTACCATGCAGAGTATGGGTCTCTCTAATTTAGATAAGTCTCGCTCAAAAGGCAATAGTGATGGCCTTAGCCCTTAGGCCACTACTCGCGAGAGATATTCTGATAGTGATAGCCACTTTTCTTATCAGGTACTTATTCCATAAAAATAAGTATATATTGATTATTTTGAAATAAGATAATTGACTTTGACCAATTTTTAGAATGTGTGTATGTGCATCTATGGATGATAACCGAGTTGGATAAATACGGATTTTATTATCCTGTTTTTTATTATTATTTACAGTTCCTATATTCTATATTTATTTTTATTTTTTATCTGACTGGTATGAAATTTATATATTTATCTCCATCTCTATCAAATATTAAATATTTTTGTATTTGTTCTATATTTATAATAAAAAATTAATTATATATTTTTTGAAAAAAAAAATTAAAATTAAAATTTTAACATAAAGTAATAATTATTATATTAGATTAATTAAGTTTCATTCTATATAAATTTAAAAATAAGATAAAAATTTATATAAATATTAAATAAATTAAATTTTTAAAAAATTAAAATAAGTATAGGTACAAGTATGGAACATATAATTATATATTCATTTTTATCTCTGTACCCAATTAAATAAATTGAACATTACTCATACTTGTATGTATTTGTATCTAATTAAATTAAATATCTTTTATTAAAATTGAGATAAATTTAACTATTATCTATAAATATAAATTTATTTCTCATCTCTACGTGCACCCCATACATACTGAGGTGTAAAATCTCTTAATAATAGCAGTGTTATTTGATACAACCGAGAGATAATGAACAGAAGACGAATATTTACAAAAATGCATTTTGACAGTCGAGAGCTATTGAAAATTTCAATAGAGCAAAAATATAGTAAATGTTTAGTTATCATAGTAACATTGTAAGAATATAATAAATGTATATATCATAGTAACATTGTTATATTTATTGAAGGCTGATATATATAGGATACATTCCTTGTGATATCCAAAACCTCTCAAAAGTACCATTATCCTATTTTGGTGTACCAATAGAGAAAAATTTACTTCAGGTCAAATCTAATTCATATTTATGAATGTTTTTCTAGAAATCTCATACTTGAATCGGGTGTTGACCCAATCAACTTATAATTTAAATTGATCCAACTTTTTTACTTCGAGGTGGCTCACTATATGAATTGAGCTCAAGCTTAATCTAAAACAAGTAAAATTTAATAAACTAAAATAATTAATGACCAATGTGATACGTAATTATTTCCATGGCATTATTTTTTAACAATTACTTATGAGTTATGACATATAAATTATAAATTTAGAACTTAAATTTCAGGCATGTTAGTTATAAAAAAAGCTACATTATTAAGAGATGTTTGTTGATATAATTTTTCATGTAGTTTTTTTTAATAGAAATTATTGTAATTTTGATGAATAAAAAAATGTACTATATAATATAAGTGAAAATTAAAAATATAATAAAAAAATTCATGTAGTTATTATAAACAATAATAAATATAAATAATGATTTATGATTAGATGTTGATGTTACACTTTTTTAATATGTACACTGTTTACTCATAAATTTGAAATTTGTAATCAAGTAAAAGTCAGTCGAAGGAGAAAAGCAAAATAATAATTACGAAGGGAATGGTCAATGAAGACATAATATTGATCATGATGACCTTTTACCACTTTATTTTACTTTTACCTCTGGATGCCATGCAATGCAACTAAGTTTAATTTGCCAACGATCATTCCATTTTTATCCCTTTTTCACCCTTCAAATTAAATTATTAAGCTCACCTCAATCGTTTAAAACCAGGATTATGATACCTTTTCTAAGGATTTGACGTTATTGCCAACTTTAATTTCATCCCATAACCCCTTCCCTTTTCTCATCCTTCAAATTTACTTATTCATTAAGTATGAAGCTGAACTCGGAAAATTAAGATTGGAATTATGAGAATTGTAGTTAATATCGATTATAATTATTTTCATTTAAAACAAATTAATATCCTTATCCATTTCGTGAGTTTTTTTTTTTTTTTTTTTTTAATTAAAGTGCTTCTATTTACAAGATGCATAAGAAACAACTTGTTGTTTATCCAAAGTCAAAACACTTAAATATGTATTTTTTTTTGTGTTGACTCTTATTTATACTAAAATTATATTTTATGAGCAAATATCTTATTTCATAATCATAAATTGTGGAAGGTTACTTATTAATATTAATAATTTCACAAATTATGTTATTATAACTTTTATCTCATAAATAATGTTATTATAATTATTATATTGTATGATACTATAAATCTTGATATTTTTACTTGTTTTATTATTGGAACTAGTTGATTACTAATTGAGTCCTACTTTAATAGTGATATAAAAGATTTAATTGATGAATCTCAATCAATTGTAGATCAAGTTAACAAATACCGTCGATCAAAGATTTAAATGATACACAATCTTTTAAACTCAAATATTAGATGCACAAAAAATTTAAGTCTAAATATTTGACTTAGTCAATTAAATGCTTGAATGATACAAAAAATTATACAAATTGATCTCATAATTAGGTTAAATATTTTTTAAGTTGTCCAAATTTATTTTATGATCTCATGGTCTAAGTCTGGTTCATTAACATGTGAGAATTATGATTTTTAGATATGATTAATATTTAAATAATAATTAAGTTTGGCATAATTTGTTGCATAGAGGATCCTCTTATAGAAGAAATTTAATTTGTTTTACCTTTATTTTTTTTTTGTTACAAGTATTTATGAAGAATCTAGTGAAAGAGGACCTGTTTGAAATGAACATTCAACCAAACTAACATTACATGCAACTAAGAAGTCCTTATCATGAAATAAATATTAAATTATTTTCTTGTAGCTCCTACAAGAATCCAAATCTATCTCACGCATCGACAGAGGGAGGGTTAACATCAAGATGCAACAAGTACACCTGTGTTTTGACATTAAATTCAGAATGGCAAAATAAGGGAAGTTGGGTGATTAGCTGAGAAACCTGAACCTGAAAAAGACTTGAGGTGGCCAAAAATGAATGGACAACAATGAAAACCACTTTTCACCTCTCTCATTTCTTTTAATTTCAAAGCTACCACAACACTTTTCTCAAACCTACCGTGCCCAGCCAAGGAAAAATGTACATGAAACGTCAAACTACATAAATGATGCACAAGGCAACTCGTTAAAACTCTGCCAAACATTTATCATTCACATTAAATGATGACAAAGAACAAACACAAATTGCACAACCAAGCACCGCGATTCCGCGAAGGATCGTGAACCCTTCTGTCCTTTTATCCACAACTCACATGAAAAATTATTGCTCTTCACATATTTTTTTACGTTTTTTTTTTTTTTGTCTATTTAGCATTACCATTTTTATATACTTATTGTCCTTGCTGGAGAATCAATACATGATGACATACTATACTAACAAGTGGTTTGTTGGGCTTCACGTGAGCTACACAAATCCAACTCCTTCTTAAGTTGGGCTCAAGTAAGGCCCAAATCCGAGACGACTATTTTCCGTTTTGATCTCAGTCGAATCCGAGTTGGAAGAGAGAGAGAAAGAGAGAGTAGTGAGTCTAGTGAGTCAAGAGTCAAAGGTGGAACCAACGAAACAAAGGCAGCGAAATTGAGGAGCTATTTATTCTTTCTTTAACGCTCTCTTCAGTTGACTGTTCACGCTCTTCGCATTCTGCGCCACCTTCTCAAATCTCTTTCGATTCTCTTTGCATCTTTGCAACAACCTCCATGGCGACGAACACGTTCACCAGAGTATCACTCTCCGCCCGCTCTCTCCGTCCTCAGTTCAATCACAGATTGGTATAATTTTCATTTTCCGTTTGATCCTCTCTCGCGCTTTTAAGCTTTTAATTATAACTGTTATTCTGCGCTTTGCTTTACTCTTCTATTTGTTATGATTGATCGCTTCATGAAATCCTCCTTTGTCTGTTTATTTGTTTCTTTCTTAATTATAATTCTTACGTGCGAGTTTTCTCTGAATCCTGTATTCCACTTCTGCAGAGGTTCGTTTTCAGAAATTATGTTTTGTGATGTTGAACGCACACGTGAACGTCTTTCGTTGATCGAGATTTGTTGCTATTTTTCTCTAATTTGTTGACTATTACGGTGCATTTAATGCAGCGATACTGATAACTACGTGTTTATGGATTTGCGTAGAACATGTTTTTGTGGAAAAATCTGGTTGATTACATAATTGATATTTTGTGTTGTTTTACCGTTTGAAAAAATGTGAGGCGTGAAATTTTCATCTATTGAAAGTGCAATTGAACGATACAAGGTAATAGCGCCTTGGTGCTTGTATTGTTTTATATTTAAAAACTTTAAAGGACGATGAATTCGAACATTGTATTTTGTGGTAGCTTTAACTCACTTTGCTTGCAAAACCGTATTATGGCTTCCCATCCAATTTTGTTAGTGAAGATTAAAATTGAAGCTGTAAATTTTGGACCAGAACATGTAAAATACTTTGCATATTATTTTCCTGTATTTCGCATCAGAACAACACCAACGATTCTCAGTAATAGCTCACATTTTTTGTTTTATTTGGAAAAGCAGCATTAGTGTTTAGTTTTTTTTTTTCTTTTTTTTTAATTATTATTATTTATTCTTTAATGAAGTTTCTTTGAATGTGCATATATTGAACAGGCATTCAGTTCAATTGCTGGACCAAGGTCTAGCTCATTTTCAAGCTATGGGAGAAGGAATGTTTCTTTCAGCTCGCAGCAGCACTCAGTTCGCCTTAGAGTTTCCTGTGCCGTATGTAACTACTAGTGAAGTGCCTCAGCCTTCTTTTAGAAATTTTACTTTTGCTTTCATAGACACCTAAGTACTAGATGTTAGACCTTAGTAGCTTTCGTTTGGTTGGTTCGGTGTCTTTTTTCTCTTCCAATACCAAAAAAGATTGCTTCAACCGTAGGTAGTAGTAATATTATATATGGATTGCACCTCATGAAGTTATACAGTTTGAAGCTGAAACAATGATGAAGTTAACGATGGTTCTTCATTTCAACTTTAAAATTCTCAATCTATCTTGCGCTCGAGGAGGCTATTAGCCTATATAATTACCGTGTTTTGTAAGATAATAAATGGGTTTACCAATTGAAGCTTAGTTAAGTGTGTACAACCTTTGGATAATACTATTGATTTTATACAATGTTTCATGCTTATGTTGAATTCATTGAGCAGGCTAAACCGGAGACAGTAGAAAAGGTGTGCAAAGTAGTAAAGAACCAGCTGGCTCTTCCGGATGACTCTAAAGTCACTGGCGAGTCAACATTTGCAGCTCTTGGAGCTGATTCACTTGACACGGTATGGAACATCTTGCCAGACAATACAATTGCTTCCATTCAATGCTCCTTGGATTTATTTAGCAAATCTGAGAATAAATTAATAGCCTAGAATTTGATTGTTGTGAACTTGTGATTTACTTTTACATGCCATGCACTTTAGGTTGAGATTGTGATGGGGCTTGAGGAGGTATTTGGTATCAGTGTAGAAGAAGATAGTGCACAGAGCATCTCAACAGTTCAGGAAGCTGCAGATCTTATCGAGGATATCATCAGTAAACAGAGTCCTTAGACTATACATATACCAGATGAAAATATATATGGTAGATATTCTGCTTTGAGTGTTTTATCTGCATATTCTGCTGTTGCCTTGTTTCATAGGTTTGAAAAAGAAAAACAAATTTGCAGGGAGAAATTATGTGAAGGATGTGGTTTTTGCATCAGGAAAGGCTTTATAAAGGGGAATGATTCAATCCCATAAAATTGTTGCATCTTTGGTGACCATTGGTCATTGTCACAATTCCAGTGGTCTGCCTTTGTTAATAATGAACTTGCTATGCTATCCGAGTCAGGAGTCGTAGTTTTGTTTCAATTTAGGAGCATCTCTGATTGTTCAATGAATTGCATCCTTCGTAAATATTGTGTAGTAAATATTTTAAGGTTTGTAAAAATAGCTGGAGAAAAATACAAGCGGAATCTATATTTATCATAACAAAAGAAGTGAAGCGACTATATTTTGTTTCGTTTTACCTATATAACTTTTGTGATCGTGACATTCGAATGAGCCAATTAGGAAGGGGAATCCTTACTTATATAGTGTGGTAGAGGAGGAAAATAGAGGAAGAAGTAAAAAAAAAGAATAATATATAATATATAAGTAAAATAAAATAAAGCTATACTTAAAACTTACTGTAATCAATAATTCATGTATTATATAAACTTTTAACAATTCAATTATTAAATTATAAAAAATTAAGTATGTTAAGTTTTTTAAAAATTGAAAATTACTTGATACTCTATTTTACTAATTAAAATTAACATATAAAATATATTTATAATTATTCATCAATTCAAATTAATAAAATAAAATATTAAATATTTTTTTTTAACTTTATAAACTTGATTTATTCATTAATAATTTTTAATTTAACGGTTAAATCATTATTTTGATGTAAAATATAATTATTAAGTAAAGTAAGTGAATTATGATGCGTAATTTTACATTTATTTGTGTAAAAAAAATTGGGCTGCCGCAATGTTTTCTTTGGACTTCCTCTCCTTTTCATTTGAGATTCGAGTTCAAAGGACTAGTCTCTATGCTAAGTGTTTGTTGAAGCATTGGTATTGTGACATTCTAGTTCAAGTAACCTCGCTTTGAATTTGTTATAGTTTGATGGACATTTTAGTCAATGACATACAAAAGAAATCAAAATGTTTTCTTACCCAAAATATATTCAAAAGTAATTGTCACAATTGAGTAAGCTTGGAGTGACTCTAGTTGAATACTTGATACATAAGCATTTATTTGGCTAAATTTTTCATAAATAAGAAACAAAAACTTACATTTTTGCATAATAATTGACATATCAACACAGTAACTTACATTCCAAAGTTTTATATTATAAATAAATTTAGCGGCATAATCAGCCCTCTTAATTTTTGTACACTCCAAATCCCTCAATATTGGTCTTCGCATGACACCCAGCCTGGTCTCCCCATGTTAGATAAGCTATTGATGGGAGTCTCGCCCCTCCTACCTTGAAAAAGAAGAAAAGTTAGGATCGGTGAAACTTCAACCCTTTTATTTATCCCTCCTTTCCTAATATTTAAACCAAATTACCACCAACAAAATGAAAACCCCTCCCTTTTCATTCCTTCTCTTTCTTTTTTCCTCCAACCAAACCACATTTATACATACAAATGTAAGATCTCAGGCGTAGTAGCCACTGATGCATCATGAACTGTAATATATATGATCTAAAAAATCTGGCTGTATAAAAATCACTATTTTTCATCACGTTAAATGCTTAAAGCGTAATTGATTGTTCTAGCACTCATTCTTTCTTAAGAAATTGATTCATTGCACTAACAGACAACTTAAATCCAATATAATCTCGCATAGAACAAGCAAATATAGCATTAACCTGAGGCGACCAACATTTCTTTTCAAAATTTTATCTACTAAAACGATCTACTAACATATTTACTTTATTTACAAATTTCATCGTAAGCTGATGCCCTGCAAACAGTACATTGAGGCCTTATTAGTAATCTAACCTAACAGCCCATCCATATCAGTTCCAATCTGCTTCGAAAAAACCAGCATCTTTCATTTCAGAATAGTAGACATTCTCCAAATGCAAATCTTCCTCCTGTAATCAACACAATAACAACAATCAGTCGTGTATCAATGAAAGAAGGAAGATTGTCCTAACTCCCAAGTACAAACAATACAAGGATTTAATAGTAAAAACTGAACCCTGGGCATTATGACCTGAAAAAAGTCTGCCAGAAAGGTTATATACAGCAGAGGAAGATAAACGGCATGGTAGCATACAACTGTGAAATGATATAACCTGTGAGCAAAAGTGAAACACAAAGCTTTAGACAAAGATACCAAAGAAAAAAGTTTAAAACAATCACTTTTCTCCTAAGCTATATAGAATAGAAGAATCGTACCAGAAACCAAAAGCAGCACCGTTTCCAGTAAGGGCACAAGCAAACAGTGCAATTGCATTCCAGATGAACATAATAGTAACATACTTATAGTATGCAGGTCTTGCTGTAAAAGGAAGAGAAATTATGCTATTATAAAACTAATTAAAGAATAAAGACATAGTATAACAATCCAGACAACTAACTTACCAGGTAACCTTTCTCTCCACCTAGAATGATACATGAACAGTATGCAACCATAAACCAGGGTAAGCAACAGCTTGTGGACAACCCACAAGTTCCACTTCACGTGAGGAGTAGGGTAATCACTGTTGATGAAAATCGGAATCCCAAATGCAAACAGATATATTGCCTAACAAGAAAAAGGCACAATTGCAACAACTCATACATTAATAACCATAATGACAAGCAACAAGCTCACAGGGAAAACCACGGTATTACCTTCAACAAGATATCAAAACCAACGATAATCCCTGAGATACCAAAAGTTCGCGTCAACGCTTCTACACCACTGGTACTATTTCCTTGAAGCAAAAAAGCCAGCAAGCTCACTTCTAGAAACAGCATTCCAGAAGTAGTAAAGAGGGATAACAAGTTCCACGCAAACTCTTTCCCAGGCAAGCACTCCCATGCCTGCATCAACCAAGAATTAACCATTCACCAGTGCCCGCAAATCACAAAAATAATTAACACCATTTTACAACAAAATAAGATATAGCTAATAATAATATTCAATTTAATCCCAAATGTGACAAGTGGCATTGTTTAGATCCCAAAATCATATCTCTATACAAACTACCAACAAGTTTATACTTTACCCTAAGTGTGTTTCTGGGTGAATGTTTGCAAAAATTAATTTTATAATAAATTTATTTTAGCTAAAATTGATTTTGGGGTTAAGTGATTTATATTTAAATGTTTTTATTTCAAGGATTTGTTTAATTAAACTTCTTCTCCAGAACTACTTCTGGGAGAAAAAAATAAGAAGAAAAATTGAAATAAGTTTATTTGCAAATTAAAACTAGTTTATGGGTCTATTTGGACAAACTTCTCTAGAAGTAATCATAGGAGAGAAAAATAAGAAGAAAAATTAAAATAAGCTTTTCCATAATCTAAAACTAACTTATATAGAGAAGCTAATAGGAGACAATTTTTACAAATTAGCTTATGTACAAGCTAATCTTAGCTCACGGAGAAACTCATTTTATTTTTCCTCTATATTTTTCTCTCCTAAAAGTATTTCTGTAGAAGTTTACCCAAACATGCCCTATACATAAGAAAGAGTTTCTACAAATTATCTAATTTTAGCTTATGAAAAAGCTTGTTTTATTTTTCCTTTCTATTCTTATCTTAGTGCTGAAGGAGCACTTTACTCAAACGTTCTAAATGCAAGTTAACACTAAAACTCATTAAATTGAGGACCTAGAATCACTTCAATTTTCAGCGTGAAATCAAACATGCGAATACGTCAATTGGTATATCAACCTAATTCCAAATCACCGACGAAATCCAAACATGCACTAAATTGACAAGCTGTAAACAATTTCAGGTGCAAAGCTTGACAACGTCTGAAAACTAAATTATAAACAAAGTCAGTAATTTCCTCGAGTCGATTAAAGAAATAGCGGAAAAAATAGGGTTACCTGGGAAAAACACCAAATAAGATTGAGGATGCTAACGAGCCAGAGGGAAGCGTAATAAGAGATAATGATGTAAGAGCGGCCATGGGAGAGTTTGAGGAAGCTCTGACGAGCTTGCAGAGCCAAGTACAAGACGAAGAGTAAGGAAGCGATGATCAAGACCGCATTGTGCCAAAAGCCATGGCACTCGAACACCCAATCGTGGAACCCTTCTAAAAACCCTGAATTTGACCCTTTATTCTCGATAGAAAGCAGCGATTGCTCCACCATTTCCCCCAAACCTCTTTTTATTTTATTCAGAGAAGAAACCCTAATCGTGATTTTTTTGGAGAAAGGGAAAAAGAGTTAGTAGAGTGGAAGAGTGTGAGGCGGGTTGAGATTGAAGAACAGTAACGCGTGATCAGAGAATCATCGATGGTAGCGCCGTCGGCTATGGATTCGCTTCCGTGATTGTTTATCCACGACTACTCTTCAATTTCATCTCTACCACCCTCACGCCTCAACACAACAAAAACTATAACAATAATTTATTATTTTTTACATTAAACATTTTTAACTAAATAAATCATGTCTACATATTTTTATAATATTCAAAAATAATTTGATAGTTGAATTCGCTGATTTTAAAATTTAAATATTGTAATTACTAAAATATAATGTAAATTATGAATTATTAAATAAAATAATTTTAAAAAATATTATTTTTAATCTTGAAGTAAGTAAATTTTTTCCAATCTTTAATAATAATAAGTGAAAAATTTGTAATGTCTTACTTATAATAGGTTAGAAAAATAATATTATAAAATAAAGTGAGTTAATGTTTTTTTCTTGGTATAAGAATAAATTTGTTATATATATAAGTCTATTTAAACTTATTTTGTTCAATAATTCATGTTCTATATTAAATTTTAATAATTTAATCATTAAATTTAAAGTTCTTAATACATATATTAAGTTTGTAAAACTTTTAAAAAGTTTAAAAGTTATTTAATATTTCATTTCATTAATTCAAATTGACGGATAGTCATAAAAATATTTTATACATTAATTTGAATTAATGAAAAAAGTATCAAATAATTTTTAAATTACGTATAAGATGAAACAAAATATTAATAATTTTTTAATTTTTTAAAAATTTATATACTTGATTTATACATTAAAAACTTTAAATTCAACAATTGGATCGTTAAAATTTAATGTGGAACATAAATTATTAAATAAAGTATAGGTAAACTTATTTCTAAAATAAACAAATTTCTCACCTCTCTTTATATTTTTTTTTCTCTATATATATATATATATATGCGTGTGCAAGCGCATTTTCCTATATATATATATATATATATATATATATATATAGAAAGAAAAAAGGTATTTCTTTTATAAATACTTATAAATTATTATTATTATTATTATTATTTCATTTTTCTTTCCAAGCAAGAACTTTGTTAGTGTTGGGAAAAGTTGTACTCAATGAAGATGTTAGAAGAGATTACAATGGAGTTGTAGAACGGTTAACATTTAAGCACATCAGATGAATTCAACTTAAAATATTAGTCGATTAGGTTAAGAGTTTATAATTTAAGACGATTACTTTAATTTATATAAAGAAATGATTTTGTATAATTTAGTTAAAATTATAATTTATAATTTATCAAAATTGATAAATTTTTTAAGAAAATTATATGTAATTTTATAATAGTAATTTTGTTATTTAAATATAATTTATATCAATTTCTATTATTATTTAGCTCATGTCAAGTAAATAACACAATACTGTTATTTGACCACTAAACAGATTCATAATATGTATATATAAATAAATAAATATTATATTAAACTTGCCTTAAAAATTACGGTAAAATGTATTGGTAACATTTTTTTTACTATCTCGTTTTATTTTTATTCCTCAACAATTATGGCAGTTGTTAACATTTTTTTTATCATTAGGATAAAAGTTAATTAAATATAACACCTTATACTACGAAAAATCTAGCCAAGAACCAATAATAGGTTTCATGACTGCGAGTGAACTTGATGACATTGCTTTCTATCATTTAGAGTGGGTTTATAATAACTTTTGAGTTTATTTTATGATATAGTACTCGTATAAGTACTTGGAAGAATTATATAAATAGTTAATAACTAGTTCACAAGTTATTTTGCAACTTAATTTAATGAATTATTTAAGATAATTTATGAAAAAATATTACAATTTATATGGAAATAGTTTAATTTTCAATTTTTTCAATTATAAAAACAATTTATACATAAACACTTATATAACAAGAATTAAGAGTTTGTTCAAATAAATAACTTAAATTAGGATTTTTTTAATAAGTCTCTATTGTATAAAAGTATATTATAAATACTTAAAATTCAATAATTTATATATAAAAAGAAAAGGAAGAAATCAAATTATTCTTAAAAATAACCTTTATTAAAATTACTTCATCAAATAATGACGAGAATATTCAAATATTGGATATTAAATAAATACTTGCACAACAGTGTTGCAAAGAGCGTATAATATGACATTCTCCAATCTTTGCCTAGGGTTGATTGATTTTCAGCTTTACTCAGTTTCTATTAGGACATTCCAAATACATTGTTGATTGGTTTCAAAGTAATGTAGAAGATATCTCATAGTGTGGTGATCCTCAACCATATCAGAGACTTGCTTAGGATACACCTTACTTTTTCTGTTAGTTTCATTAGGAAACAAGCTAATAAGATGGCTCATACCATAGCTAAAATTTCTTCTTATTATCCTTATGCTGCTATTTTTCCCATTACTCTCTATTGTATCCAAAACATTATTGCTGGAATTGATCTGATTTTGCTGCTGTAAGGGAAAAAAAAAGTAAATTGCATCTGTTATAAGCTTCATAACATTAAGTAAATATGTCAACCAATATATGTCATGATTGTTTTATATATAATAGAAAAAAACAAATCATACAATTTTTTTTATCATGAACAAATCATAAATAGGATTTCAAATAGCCATAATTTGTTGACATTATTACTTTCACATTCATGTGTTTCGAAGCATATTGCCTCTAAAAAATATAATCAATTAAGAGTATTTTGAAAAAAGTATTAATTAATTAAGAGATAATTAAAAATAAGTCATAAAAAATGGACAAATAATAAAGTAAAAAAAGTCTTGTATATGAAGAGGTAATAATTTATTATGAACAAGTATATAATTAAGGCTTTGTTTGGAGAAGGAAGAAGAATAGAAGAAAAAGAGAAAGAAAAGGTGAGAATTGGTTTGATGAGAAATAGAGTAAAATTTGTAGTTGTTTAGCAGAGTGAAATTGAGTAATAAAATAAGATGAAGATATAATTTTTAATTAATTTATATTGAATTAAATTAATAAATTTTAGCATATTTAACATTTTTATTATTATTTCATTTATTTATTATTATATTTACATTTTTTAGTTTTATATTTAAATTATTTATTTTAAAATTAATAAAAAAAATCATATAAATATAAGGTAGTTCTAGATTAATGTTCTAGATGCAACTAAAAATAATAAATTAAAATTGTCAACATAAAATAAAAATTAAATCCAAAAAACATTGAGAAAAGGTAATATATATA